AATCCGTTCTGCTGTTATTAAACGAAGTAACGAACAAACAAATGTAAGCGAAAATTCGTCTGCAAAAATTGGTCTGTATCATCTGAAAAGTCGACCTTGTTTTTTTTTTATTTTATTAATTTATTTTAAAGCTAGCATTTTTATTCCTTTCAAATTTAAGCCATTTCAAATTTATAGAAAATTTTAATTCTAAAATTACTTTATTTACAAAATGCCAAAATCAAACCGAGCACTTTAGTAGTCCGAAACTGTTTTACGAGCTAATTTAGAACTAAATCGCATTGTGTTAGAGTACTGTCTACAACGCGCATAGTATTTCAAAGCAGAAGTTATAATAGAATCAAAAGCAGTGTAATGAGCGGCAGTTGAGTGTTCTTCCGCTCAATCTCGGCGCGGTCTAAACGAGCGGCAGTTAGGATAAAGTTAGTGTTAGTTTAGAGCCGTCTGCCATTGACGTAATATAGAGAAATGGGGATCGCGTATAGATTTTCTAAAAATGTATATACACAATACAAGTCATTTTAAATTAGAAATAAAAGCTTATTGGAATCAATCTTAAATTATAGGATAGCACAGCATTATTAGAAATACATTTATAGCCTGCATGGTTTTTTATTTAAATGACATGACCCAGGAAACACCTGGTTTAAAGGCGATAGTAGATACGACACTGCATTCAGTGATTCGTGATTTAAGTTCCAACTGATCTACAAATCGACTCTTAGTTTATGGGCCAGAGAGTGACACGAAGCAATCTTTTATCTTGGGAAAATGCAACGTGTCTCGTGTAAAACCACGAGGCAAGTCTAGTATGTTCATAGTTATCATTTGTCGCTTATGCTCGTGTGTGTTATGCCAATTCGCGTAAATCATTGAAATCAATTATTCAAAATTAATTATACAGTTTAATTTAGCTAATCTATGGATATAAACGCGATTGCTTCCTTTGTAAAACTATAGTTGTGTTATTATAATATTGATAATATTTGAATCGTTAATAAAAATGAAGTCGGTGCTGTAGTTCACTTTAAAGAATATTTACCGGATTATCCCAGGTTAATGGGAACCGATGTTTGTTCGTCGACACGGGTTCGTTAATATGAATTTTATGGTCCGAGCGTGACACCCACACGTGACATTGCGAATACTTTCGTGACTAGTGAGGGTGTTATTGGTGTCGAGAGGACGGAAAGTGTGTAAGTAGTCGGAGTGGCGCCGTCTAACTTCATCACTTAACTTGTACATAAACCTTGCTTCCCCATTGCGTTCATATTACATTCGAAAAATCGGCAAGAATCACAGCCTGGCACAGAAACATTGTTGTTCAAAAATCGTTTTTGTACCGATAATTTGATTAGTATCCACTACCGCAAATTATCTTAAAAAAACCGAAGCAGTTCGACAATCAAACTGAAATGCACTTATTTTTTTAAATTTTAAACAATAAATATAATTTTCATATACTATCAATGGTTTTATTATTTATCTACAAAATAAAATCGTTTACTCATATCATTAAGCAGAACAGATGATTCTTTCGTACAAATTTTATACTTTGGAATCGATTTTGTTTTATCAATTTAATACGCCTGGTAGGCTGGAAAAAATTCAAGGTATTAGTGTGTTAGCCGGTTATTAAAGCTCCATTGTGTTATCCAACTCTAAAAACCAAAACGCTTCGGTTATTTGCGGTAGAAATAGGCAAGTTGGTGGTGGTACCTACGTGTGCAAGCTCATAATACCAACTGGCAGTCTCCAATTTAAATCGTAACTGATAAGTACTAACTAACTAGAGGTTTAATTTGTATATATTGTTTATCATTGGCTTATTCCTCATGGCTCATAGCTACGAGTGCCAATTACTAATTCCTGGTGGCGATGCCATTTTTGTGCTTCTTATTTTAACTTTTATATTAAGAAATCTATTCGTGATTGTGAAACATGGCGCCGTGCTATCGACAAAATGTAAATTAGGTGTTATTCGAATGAAATCACTTTAAATGTTCGAATGGAAAATATTTCAGAGTTAATCGAAACAATATCAGATCAATTTTACGTCATCGTGGCCTAACGGATAAGGCGTCCGGTGCAATCATGTTGAAGCGATGCACCGGTGTTCGAATCCCGCAGGCGGGTACCAAATTTTTCTACAAATGCATCTACACGGGTCTGTGAAGAAATTATTTCATGTTTAACTGAAAAATGAATAGTGTAACTTATTTTGAAAATTTACTATCAGAAATTAGCCCCATTCTTAAGGCCCTTCGAGGTTAAAGGCGCAAGGCGAAGGCGTGTTGTTGCTTTTACGATCTCATGGCACGATTTCCTTGCCCGTCAATGATTCACGGCAAATGTCAATGTCGCCTACTATTAATAGATCTTTCAGAAACACAATCTCGAAATTGGATTTCTTTCTATTTTTCTAGTCGATACTTTCATTGCAAAAATATATAACACACAATATTAACAATAAATTTTATTTTATACGTGCTTTTGTTCCATTGTTTTTCTAGAAAATTCGAAAAGGGATTCGTTTTTATAGCGTAGACGATCCGGCGAGATCAACGCCCAATTGATGTTTTTTTAACTCATGCATACCACGTGAGTGAAAATAGGCGCCCGCATTTACCATAATATACATAATGTTTATTTTAATGGCATTGAAATGGCGGTTATTCCACCCTTTGAAATGACAGTGGTGGAGCCTTCGTGAGCGAGCACACACAATGCTGTAAGTACCGCTATGTGTCTTGCCTCTGCCAGGACGAATTCTTAAAGGACATAATATATAATTTCTTCATAGACGAATAGCAGTTATTGCGCACTGAGTTTCTCACCGGATCTTCTCAGTGGGTCGCGTTTCCGATCCGGTGGTAGATTCGGCGAAGGACTGCTCTTGCTAGGATCAGTATTAGCAACACTCCGGTTTGAGCCCCGTGAGCTCACCTACACGTTAGGGTGAAGCTGAAATAGCCTCTCAAGGCTATCAGCATAGGTAGGGAAAAAAACAAGATTATTTGAGATAATTATACTATAATAAGATAATTGGGCTTTTGAGCCCATGAATCAAGGATGGTGGCATTCATGCTATAATATTCCAGATATGGATTTTATCATATTGGAATGCAATGATGTGATGTAAAACATTTTCCTCATAACGGGAAAATCCAGAAATTCAGAACTGCACGTACTAAATAAAATATATTGAAAACACACAGAATATCTGGTAAAATTTACATTCCACAATCCGCGCAAAAATCGTTATCGAAACCAAAACTTTTCCAATTCCGTTGTTCTTAGGAATATATTGTCTGTAGAACATGTACGGTGTCAAACTTTGTGGGAACGTGTGGAAGTGAGCTGCAAGCGCGTCCGTTAAATTTTATGTTCAGAGTTAAGGGGTATCGTTACTGTTTCATTAAAAGTTTCTCAACCCTCAAAAATACAAGAGGCCCCGAACAATAAATCCGACGAAGATATCTTCGCTGCGCAATTTACGCATGGCTTCCAACGATACTTCAAAGTACCTTAAAATTTGAAACGGTAGTGTAATTACGAATTGAAGTTAGTTTTATTCGCTCTCAAAATATCATAAGCCGCGTATCACGAAAAAAGGAAATTTAGAAAACCAAGGATTAAAGTACACTTTACTGTTGACCGTAAAATAAAATATGTCTATGCTACAAACACGATTTGGGGTAATCCTAAATATTAACGGGCGGACTAATTCTTAATTGCAATTGTTTTTATAATAGGAGTGTAGCAAAAACATTGTTTATCAGAAAATAAATAATATGATGTTCATGATGCATATGAATTAAAGTGAATCGATAATCATATTATGAAAAGATATTACGTAGATTACAGAATATCAACAAAATATAAAATATATTGTAGTAATATAATAAAAATGATGATTGAAATTACAATTGAAAATCGATTTTCACTTCTGATGCTCTTTGCGGTGTTCATTCCAGTAGTTTGAAGGGCTGGCTGTCAATTCTCGAATGTTCAAGTTGTATTGGACACTTCGCGGTAAGTGAAGTGTAGACTGATTGCTCGCTGGCGGGATATATCCAAGTTTCTCACGGAACAGATTCAAATTGTAGACAATAATTTAACTATCTATCTTTTCTACGGTCTGTTTTTTTACCACTGAGCAATATATATTACGATTATGATGCTGGCTGCGAGGTGTATCGAACTTAAGGTAGGAACGAATTATTGTTTCTTCATCAATAAAACAACACAACGTATTAAGAAAAAAGGATATAGTGGAATATGTTTCAAGCTTTTTAGCATGTGGAGGTCGAACGCCATGATAGACAGACAGGAGGGAATTGAGGATGTTTTAATTACGAATGTGTTTAGGGTGAAAACATGACAACCTCCATTGATTTCCCATTACATTTTAAATAGCGTTGAATAGTGTACCGATTATACAAAAATCTAAATAAATTCTTGATGAAACGACATTACGAAGCAGTCCCGCCATATTTTATAAATAGCATACTCGATAACCGCTTCAAAGCGCCAAGAGATAATGGTGAGTTGTTACCGGTAGTAGGTACTTATTTTCTCTTCACAAATTTTCTTGTTTTCAGATACTGCGCTGTCATATCATGCTCACAAGTAGAGCTGTTTTAATATTAAATTGCATCAAAATTTTGCCTATTTTTTTTGCTAAAGTTTGGAAAAAGCACCTTTTTGTACTTAAAATTTCGTACGAGTTTATTAGTTTGACAATTGAAATCAGATTCCTGTTGAATTTAATGTAATGTACTCATATATTGATACAGCGATACGATATCAGAATGTGAATAGAATAAATGCGACTATAAAATACGTAGTTTGATTCGGTATCAACAAATAATGTTTAATTTATTTTCATCAAAAAATCGTGTTTTAAACAATACATACTAGCAGCGGTCGTTCATTGCGAATCGACATTCTGAATAAAAATCAATGCGGATTTAGCCACAATAAAAGCGGGTACTTACAGTAAGTGGCGCTCGTCAGTCTGTCGATCGTGTCTTGCTTCAATTTCGAGTTCTTCTTGCCCATTTTCGGTCGCGAAGTCGAGACGACGGTCTCCACTCACTAAGGGTAGTCCGCGGTCGTCACTCTAGCGTGACTTATTTATTACATATTATTCGCCCTGAACTCGAATCCACCTGCAAAAACCAATTATGCGTTCGTGACTAGTTGTAAACATAATACGTCAATGGTTATTTCCCTTGAATTAGTGTTGTAATGCGGTGATCAATCGAACGTCCACAATAACGTTGACCATGATCACATGGTCTTGTATTATCACAACAAACTGAATCACAGGGTTGGGATACAATATACTTAGATAATGGATCTTGTAAAACATAATAGTAACTGGTTTTTTACTTTAGTTGGGTAGATGAGCTCATGATTCCTTGGTCCTAAGTGCATACAGGAGGAGAGTACAGTCATCACTCTTTAAAGATACGCATTATCATTGGCTGTGTGCTGTTGGCCTAGAATTGGCGGGGTTTGTAAACGGTGATTAAGTGAATCACCGCTCTCTGAATATCATTTCAGCTTACTACGATCGCCGATTGGACCTGCTTGACACTGGTTACGGGTGCTAGCACTTATTGTGAGCCCGCAAGATAGAGTACGTGCCTATTTCTGCCGCGAAGCAATAATACCTCCCGGCTTAAAGGATTTGATGGTATTAACACAATATAACTGAGATTTCAACCTCAAATCTCAAAGTAGAGCTATGGTATGAATGTTGTGATGTATATGTGTATCGGTCACACTGAGGGCCGTGCCTCATTCACGCATTTTCCAGTATCTCTGCAATAAACATAAACCACTTATACATAACCCGAGATTTCGAGGGATACAACTAAATACCGTACCGGGCGCTTTCCCTTAGGGCGTGAACGATTTAATTATCTTGACATAATTAAACATCGTTTATAAATACAAGTAAAAGCATTTCTTTTTTTAAATACTACGACATAAATACTTTTTGTATTATGAATTATGTATACTTGTACCAAAAGAATATTTTTACCAAAATTGGATTTCCTACTGTTTGGCTCGTAATATGTCGCGAATTTGTATCAAGCTGCGTACACATTCGCTTGCAGCTTACTTTGTCTTTTGCAGACAAATTCCTATTTCCTTCTCTTACTTAGTATAAGTTATGGCTTTTTTCCTCCTTCGGTATTCAGTAGGTTACCCTACTAGGAAACGGTTAGGGTACGTAAACGAATTATTTATTTTGGTAAATCTACGGCGAAAAACAAGATATTTATAAGTTGGTTATAAATAAAGAATTCTTTTGAAGTATTATTTCATAGTTCTTTTTTTTTTACAAATTGTATTCATGACGTACGTATGATGATATGTGTTTGGTATTATATCGATGCTTTGAGAATGGGGAATGCTGTCTTTTATAAATTCGGTTTGTTTGCATAGGTTTTTTATTTAATAATAATCAATACTTATACTAAAGTGAACTACCGCTATTGATAACAGTTATGAAAAGTATTGATCGCACGTGACACGTTGCTCTGATGAACTTATCTTATTATAAATTACGGTTTTACGAAAAATAGAATGCCAAATAATTTCTATTTGGGTTTAGGAAATTAATATCAGATTCCTTTTGTTCGAGTTCGGGAACTATACCGTAACCCCACCTATTTGAATTTTTCATGACAAAATACTAACCGTCAAATTTTACGTAGTAACAACTATAAAATTGTTAAATTCGTCACATTGTTTTTATGCAACAGATCATTCAATATGTTTTATAAAAATCGCGCCAATTTTAAAGCGACGGGTAATGTTTATTTTTATGATTAACAACAAGTTGTCATGTTAGGTTGTAATCTTCAACTAAAGTGTCTCGAAAGTCCTCTTAACATCAAAAAATAAGTGACGAAACTGAACAATATAATGTCTTATGAAAATAATATTATGTACAGCTATATAAGTATATTACCTTTTAGTGTAAGAATTTATTACGTATCCTGCGGGAATATAGAGCACACTCACTCTCCATCACACTACATACACAATAAAACGATTTTCACGGTAACACTGTTAACTGTACCCCTTCGTCGTTTTCTTACGATATCTGAAACGACGGAGAAAAACTGCTTTACAATTCTTTCTTCTTTTCTTTCGCTAAGCCAAGTTTCATTCGCTCTGCGGTGCTTCGTAAGTTACATCTTATTCGGGAACGTATTTAAATTGTGTTTACATAAATATAAGAAAGAGAGGCGCGACGGAAACTAATATTAAGCCACGGTTTTTATTAATTCATTTTTTTGGAAACCTTAATTACTTAAATTTAGTAAATAAACGGTAATCAATTAAGCCCTTCTAAGAAAGTTAAACAAAACGTTTCAATTTACCTATAAATATGAATTGCATTCGATCATAAATATCAATTCATTAAGGACTTAAATACTAATGCTTCCGTGTGTGTTCGATTCATAATCCGATAAGTAGGTTCGAATGTGTGCTTCGAAAGCTGGATTTTACAGGAAATGAATTCTGTGTTATTGGTCGGTATTCAGTCTACGTGAAGCAAACGTCTGTTGTGTTCAACAAAATAAGCCCATTGTACTCTCAATCGCTTTTCATCCACGAGTGCTTGATCTGGATATTGTGTTCGATGTGATGTTTTTAAATACGGTCGGCTTGAAGCGGTCGTGGACTAAGGGATAAGACGTCCGGTGCACTCGTGTTGAGCGATGCACCGGTGTTCGAATCTCAGGCGGGTACCAATTTTTCTAATGAAATACGTACTCAACAACTGTTTACGATTGACTTCCACGATGAAGGAATAACATCATGTAATAAAAATCAAACCCGCAAAATTATAATTTGCGTAATTATTGGTGGTAGGACTTCTTGTGAGTCCGCACGGGTGGGTACCACCGCCCTGCCTGTTTCTGCCGCGAAGCAGTGATGCGTTTCGGTTTGAAGGGCGGGGCAGCCGTTGTAACTATACTGAGACCTTAGAACTTATGTCTCAAGGTAGGTGGCGCATTTGCGTTGTAGATGTCTATGGGCTACAGTAACCACTTAACACTAGGTGGGCTGTGAAATCGTCCACCCATCTAAGCAACAAAAAAAAAAATACATAACGTTGTGTTCTATTTATAGTTCAGCCATAGGTATGCTGTGAGTTCGTGGGGTTCATATCTCTGAAACTTATTAAACGAAATGCAGGAATGCTTCAATAATAGCAACGCGTGTTGGTGGTCCGAGTGAGTTGTACAACTGGAAGTCATGATTACATGCACAGTCTCCCAATACATCTATCCACAAGCGATTTCGCCTTTTTTTTTTTTGCAAGNACATGCACAGTCTCCCAATACATCTATCCACAAGCGATTTCGCCTTTTTTTTTTTTGCAAGTTTATTCTTATTACAAAATATTATTCCTTCGTCACGATGATCCTTAACGAACACATGCTGGATACGTCTTTATTCAGCAAACAAATTGCTTGGTCGAGTATTTTAATCTCGGCATAGTCGTGCGAATACAATAGGCTTCGAGATCGATTCACCTAGTGCTGTATTAAAACCGCTTGAAACTGGTGGTGGGTCGTATTCTAATACCGCCTATTGTAAGTCTCTTGAGACATTATTCAAAATTGAGTAGTTTTTAGACCGTTATCAGGCGTGTTGAGATCCTGCTAGGATTTAGGCCAATATCCTACCTATTTCAAAATCGTTCTAGGTTGAAGTGTAGGACATTTGTTATACAATATATTAAGACTGCCACCTCATAGTCTCAAGACAGTCGGCGGGATCAACGTTGTGTGGTTTGGGGCCTCCGGTAATCACTCAACATTAGCTAAGATCTTGAGCTCGTTTATATGCAGTAAATAAATAAATCAAAGACAAAATGCAAAATAGTAGTTGGATTATTCGCTGAATCACATTTGCATCTAAGCCTGTCAGGGCAGTTAGTGGCGCTTCATTTAATGTTACGGTGAATGAATTACTTCACAAGCGAGGATGTAACCCACTTTTCGCGATATTGTTACATTCGTTTTTTTTTTCTTTTTATTTGACGCTGGCGCATCAGCGAGCATTTACACTCATTATCGTTCATGGCAACACCAATATTAGCATGACGGCCAACCGTGAGCAATTGTGAGCGCAGTTTACACTAGGAACAAAATTAGGCTTCTTTTAGGAAAAATAAACCAGATTATAGTCGATAGTAGTAACCATCGAATGGATAGTAAAAGAGCTTGCGGTCCTTAAGATGTTGATAAGATAACTACAGATTTTCAACATTGTCGAATGAGGGATCTTGAGAGATAAAGTTTTTGTCTTTATTTTATTAGTATATCGTGTATCTCGTTCTTCAAAATTAAGCTTTTTTTGATTATATAGAAGGCTTGAGTTTCGGAAAAACTGTAAATGTATCAGGAGTCCGATTCAATTAAAAAAAAAACAGTAATAAAAAGGGACAGATAACCAGGAGGGAGGTTTTAGTCCATAGGTCACTGAGACACCCGGACGATGACGCGCAGCACGCGCTCGAAACGTGCCCGCGTTGGGAGCACTCGCGGCGAGATCTCGTCGCGGTGCTGGGGAGAAACCTCTCCCTGCGGGCTGTCGTCGCCCGCATGTTAGAGGATCAGGGCTCGTGGGAGGCTATGGCCAGGTTTTGTGACCTGGTAATGGCGTCCCGTGAGGCTGAGGAGCGTGAAAGGGAGTGGGATCCCTCTTCAGCACCTCAGCGCAGAAGGCTGGATGGCCGGCGCGGGCGTGAAGCTCCCGCTCAGCCCCCGTAGGGACTATCAGGTGGCGGGTGCGGGGGCGCCCGGTACTCGACTGTCGGTCCGGTGGTGGGGCGGTGCAAGGTGGCTCCTGTGCGCCGCCCACGGTGTATCTCCCGAAATGACGTCCTTCGGGATTTTCCCGGAGATGAAATCCCGTCTTATCATCAGNCGGGGGCGCCCGGTACTCGACTGTCGGTCCGGTGGTGGGGCGGTGCAAGGTGGCTCCTGTGCGCCGCCCACGGTGTATCTCCCGAAATGACGTCCTTCGGGATTTTCCCGGAGATGAAATCCCGTCTTATCATCAGGACGGGTACCGGCGAAGGCGGACTTTCGGCGCGCACTGCGGTACCGTAGGTCTGGTGTAGCCGGTGTGGTGGAACTCGATGGGGTTTAGTCGGTAGTCGTTCTGCGGGGCAAGTGCTTCGCGCGCCTTTTTCAAGGCGTAGTCTCTTGCGAGGAATTCGGGGAGGTGGAGGACCTTGGCCCTCCTCGTCCCCCTCTTCCTCTCAGGAGGCGCCGGAGTCAGACATAACCCGGTTTGTTACCCCCCCGGACCGGGTATCCGTATATGGATTCCCCAGCGTAAAAAAAAAAAAAAGGTCACTGAGACACTTTCTCAGTGGAGTCGGGTATGCCCATTGGCCCAGGCCCTTGGGTATCCATGAGGATTTCCTCCCGCCCATGCGAAAAAAAAAAACAATGAGATACCCTGTATTATAGACTCAATTTTATTTCAAGCTAAAACTCATTCAGGTTTTTCAACACTTGTGAAGAATATAAAGCTGGAAAACTAAATTTAAAAGAAAAAGAAAAAAACCATGAAACTATTTATTTCAGGCGAATATTTCAAATGAAGGATTCGCTTAGATCACATTAAGCAATGTCAATGATCTGTTAAATTTATACCACAATGCTCGGCACGCCTTCTACGACACTCAAGTACCATTTCGGAAATTACTCTATAAATCATTTTAGTACGATGCTCTTGTTTTCAACAAATTAAAATTATTACTCAATTTATTTTCACCATATAATACAAAATATCATTTATTAATTTCGTATCGACGCGAAAATCACAATGTTTCTATCATTTTAAAAACAATAAAAAAAAAAACTGCCATTCGGATGGTGTGCCTTCATATTCGCTGCACACGAAACATGCTGTCTGAATAAATTGAAAACGTCATGTAATCTGAAAATTCTGTGTATTTGTTGAAAGGTTTCTTCCGTGTTTGCGATACGAAAGTAAAGTGCGGGTCTCGTATACGGAATTTTGTACGTGAATTATTAACATCCATTATTTGTTATTTGCATTGGACTAATATTGTAAACTACCATTATGCCCGACATATTCTTTCAACACAATTTAGCAGATGCAAGGAAGCAAACTCCAATTTTAAAATTAGTTCCGTCGTAGTATCTTAAGGTATTTTTCAGAATAAACGAACGCAGCGTAACATTTTATGAGTTTTTATGCATATAATACATTTTGCGAGCATTCCGTACAGAAATTAGCAACTTACCAATTTGCCTTTAGCATTGGTTTTGTTAGATGCGCCCATTTTTTGCCACAAAAATATTTTGGGGAATCTAAATAAAGAAATAAATAAACTAAATCCGGATTAAAGAAAAAAATACTATATTTTTGCAAGAAATGCAACCGACTTTAATACTTTTTTTTGGTTTCGGGAAATGTGACTTGTGATAAAACTGTTTCTCAATCGTAAAGTCCAATCTCGAACTCTTTTGTTTGTGAGACATGAGTGATACTAGTGTATCATGTTTGCATATTATTACGTGTTAAATTACCTAATATTTTTTGGATCAAGTATGTATCCTGAATCACTATAGATTGCTAGAAATAGATTTAATTTGTCTTATGTGACCACTGAAAACACAAATTAAATACAGTTTAATATTCGCAGAGCAATTTCGCTGAAGCAATTATGACAAATATATTAATGGCACTAAATGTGTTTTCTGAACGAAACCATATACAACGAGACTAGCGTTTTAAAAAAAATATATCAATTGACCAAAATCACTAATGGAAATTGCGCAAATTTACTCAATGTTGTGAATTTCTTATTAAATCTTATTACAGAAGTTTTTCGAAATTTAGGGTTCCTTTCTGAGTTTATATATTAACAGAATATGAAAATGAGTCATTTTAAGAAATTTATTCAGTAATTAATGAAAAAGAAAAAAATATTTACGTGATTTTCAAGCTCGCACGGGTTGATACCACGATTTTACCTATTTATTCCGTAAAGCAGTAATGGGGTCCAGTTTGAAGGGTGGGTGACCGTAATAGTACAGAATTGAG